TGGGGAGAGTAGTGGGAAGGGAAGGACAGAAGTTGATCACTGGGTGCTATCTTAGTTTCTTTTTCTGTTGCTATGATAGAATACCATGATAAAAAGTAATTTAAAGGCCAAGTAATTTATTTTGGCTACAATTCAGGGGTACAACCATCACATAGGGAAGTCACAGCTGTGGGAGCTGAAAGCAGCTGCATCCACGGCCAAGAAGCAGACAGCATGGGTGCTTGGCGCCCTTTCTCCCTTCTTACGTAGTCTGGGACCCAAGACCAGGAATGATGCCAACGACTTTTAGGATGGGTCTTTCCACCTCAGTTAATGTGATCAACCCCTCAAGAGTCATGCCCAAGGATTGCATCATCCCTCAGGGGATGCCTAGAGCGGTGGTTCTCAACACTCCTGATGTTTCGACCCTTTAATACAGTTTCTCGTGTTGGGGTGACACCCCAAACATAAAATTGTTTTTGTTACTACTTCATAACTGTAATTTTGCTACTGTTATGAATCGTAATGTCAACATTTTTGGAGATGGAGGTCTGCCAAGAGGATTGAGACTCAGGTTGAGAAGCAGTGGCCTAGAGGCTCATATCCCAGGTGATTCCAGGTCCTCCGAAGCTGACAACTGACACTGGTCATCACAGGCACTAAGTCAGTAAGACAGGAGTAAGGATTTCTTGAGCTAGGGGATGACTCAGTGATTAAGAACACTGCTGTTCTTGGAGAAGACCAGAGTCTGATTCCTAGCACCAACACTGGGTGGCTCGTAGCTGTAACTCCACTTTTAGGGGCATCCAGCACCTCTGATCTTTAACTTCCAAGGGCACTTGTACTCACATCCACATCCACATCCACGTAATTTAAAATAATAGAAACAGATTTTTTTAAAGGCTGTCTGTTGTGCTTTTGTTCACTTAGTAGGATGATTACTAATAATGGTAACACACTTACTGCAGTCTACAAAACTAGAAAAAGGATTGTGGTTGTTTCTACTTTAAGGAAATGGCAAATGTTTGAGATGATGGGTATGTTAGAGTTATTTAATTGTATTCTACGGTATGGATGTATGTGAAAACATCACATGATACCCCATTAATGTATACAATTTTATGGGGTTTTTTTTGGTTTTGGTTTTGGTTTTTCAAGACAGGGTTTCTCTGTGTAGCTTTGCGCCTTTCCTGGAACTCACTTGGTAGTCCAGGCTGGCCTCAAACTCACAGAGATCCGCCTGGCTCTGCCTCCCGAGTGCTGGGATTAAAGGCGTGCGCCACCACCGCCCGGCACAATTTTATGTTTTTATGTAGCATTTAAAAAAAAAGTTTAGAGAACTAATCAGTGGATAAGTGCCGTTTGTTACTCTTGCAGAGGACCCAGTTCAGTTCCCAGCACCCATAGGCAGCCCACAACTATCAATATCTCCAGTTCCAGAGGATACAACCCCCTCTCTGACCTCTGCAGAAACTAGGCACTCGTGCGATGGGCATACAGCTATGCAAGCAAAATACTCATATAAAATAAAATAGATAAGTCTTTAAAATATTTTTGAAAAAGAATGTTGGGAACTACAGTTATTTAAATGAACCTAGGGGAAATGACATACTGTGTGATCCATGTTACCCCCTTATAAACCTTCCATGAATGGATCCTTTTGTGGAGTCTCTTTTTATCTAACAGAAATTAACCAATTGATATAAACAGATGCACTCAAGAGAACTCAAGAAGCCAAGCCAATAACTACATTTCTACACATCTAGAGCTTGCCCATATTGTCACGTGAGCAACAAATACCAAGTAAGTCATACTCCAGTTATTTAAGAGCAAAAGCCAGTCCCCTTAGAGTCACCTAACAGTAAGGACTCTGGGAGATGTCTTGTTCCCCAGCAGCAGAGATGGGAGTATTTGTACTGGGCACAGAGTCACCGACTACAAACCCAAGGCATTTGAAGCACCAAATGCTGGCCTTGACTCAAAGTTTCATGGCTTAGAAGTGTATCCAGAAGATGCCTGAGCTAGTCAATGTCAAAAAAAAAAAAAAAAACACCCTAGGGACACAGCTCATCATCTGACCATGGAAAGAAATATTTTCATCTCTTGCCTTAGGTTTTCAAAAGAAAACACTTGATTGTGGCTGCTGATAAAGAAATTACTGTATCGTAACACAGTACCAAAATTTCTGGCCAGGTATTTATGGGCAGTCCTGCTAGAGAACAAAATTGCTATGGCAACAGGAATAATTCCAGCATCCTTGGAGAATCAACCTGTCTGGAGTACTGCTGTGTAGAAATACAGACAAAATTGGGTAGGAGCAGAAGGAGAGAAGTAATTTATATCCAGGAAATGCCAAATGTAAAACTGGCCAGGTGTTCTGGTACATGCCTGTGAGCCTAGCACTTGGGAGGCTAAGGTGATTTCAAGGATAGCCTGGGCTACATAGAGAGTTCTAGGAAATATTAGGGTACACACAGAGACCTTGGCTCACAATAAGTAAACAAATAAAACTGAAATCTTTTAAAATTAACATCCTGTCTTAACAAGTTTTATAGAAATTACTTTTGATAAATAATTTTCTATAAAATTATCTTTGATAAGTAATTTTCTATTATCCTTTTGGATAAAGAGAATCATATGACTGAGATCATTCAAAACATAACCTGGAAGTTGCTCCATTTATTACAGAAGTGTATTATTTAGCTTTCTTGCTGTGTGCTCAAATCTACCTGCCTAGTTAAGTGTGATTTGGCTTAATATTATAATTTGACTTTCCTTAGTCCTAGCAAGTCTTATCACATACTTAATATAGAAATATACTAGTGGAAGATAATGAAGAAAAAGACAAAAAACTGTAAATCAGTCATCTTGAAAAAGGAAAAAAATAGAAAACCAAATCCCTCCCCTACTTCTCTAAACCTCTCAAAAGCAGGAAAGTGTGTGTGTGTGTGTGTGTGTGTGTGTGTGTGTGTGTGTGTGTGTGTGTGTGTGTGTGACAGAACCAAAAGAGTGTCTGGGTTTCTGAAGCTTGAGTTACAGGCAGTTGTGAGCCATCTAATTGGGAATCTAACTTGGGTCCTCTGGAAGAGCACCAAGCACCCTTAACCACTGAGCCACCTTTCCAGCTCCCCCTTTTTTGTGCCCAAAATGTGTGTTTTTGTTGTTCTTGGCTTTTTGTTTGTTTTTGAAACAGAATTTCTCTGTGTGGCCTTGGCTGTCCTGAAACTCACTTTGTAGACCAGGCTGTTCTCGAACTCAAAGATCTACCTGCCCCTGCTTCCTGAGTGCTGGGATTAAAGGCATGCTTTACAACCACATGGAAATATGTTTTAATAAGAAAATTAAGTCTGTATGCAATAAAGGTGATAAAAAGTATATTACCATCCAATCAGAGAGTGCTCACCTGTGATCCAAAGACTCTGAAATAATTCCTGCAAGCTTCTGGCTTCTACCACACGTGCTCATTGAAAACAAGAACTCACCATCTCATGGGTGATGTTCAACACACAAAATACCACAAGGGATAGTTGAAGCTAACTCCTCATCCTAAGTGTTTGCAGTAGGAGCATGGTTTCTTGCTAGTGGCCAAAGTAGCTAAGCTATCATCAGTGTGCAATACAACCTCTCTCTCTCTCTCTCTCTCTCTCTCTCTCTCTCTCTCTCTCTCTCTCTCTCTCTCTCTCTCTCTCTCTCTCTCGGTGTATTTTGCTGGAACTCAAGCCCAGAACTTCACACATGCCAGACAAGTGTCCTATCACTGAACTGCATCTCAAGCTTGAAATTAGTTTTTAAAAATATGAATCATTTTGCATTTTTTAACCAAAAAATTCCTTAAACAACCATGGTGAAGATTTCTTGGGTAGACTCTAGGTTAGTGTATTTATAAGCAGCTAACCAGCAACCAGTGCCTTATATTGGAAGCAAAGGCCATCCAAAGATCAAAGTTCACAAATGGAAACATTTTCATTCCTCTCTATTTCCTCTTTTGCCTGGGGAGGTTTGAACCAAATTGCCAGCTGGTAACATGTACAACAACACTAAAATCACACTCATGAACACTGGGATTCATCTTAAGAAAGGAAAAATGGCTGAAAGATTTTATCTTTAAAGGGAATTAAATACAGTTCTGGCTTGTGGGAGAATTATATTAACATCTTTCCCCAAACTTTATGAAAAATACTGACAACTATGTTTATATAGCCAACTAAATGCCCTGGTGTTACAGTGTTGAAGAGGACAGACGTGTAGGTATACATCTTATATAGAGAAGCTTATATATATAGTGCCATCAATTATGGAAAATGAAGCTACATGTGCGGACAGGGTCCTTACCTTCTCCAGTATGGCGTTGCCTTGGTGGGGACTGATATTGTGCTGGCTGATTTCTCTCTTGTACTTATATTCATAAACCTGGTCAGTGATGTTGATCAGCAGAGTTGATGGGCTGAACGACAATTTCCCACATTCATAGACGGTTCCACTCTCAATATCGGTTGGGGCTGTGGCATATCGTAAAATTAATCCCATTATGAGACCTAAAATGAACAACAAATAATTGTTCTGGAAGAAGGAAACCTAAATCTCTGATAATTGAATGACCCAAACTTTTGATTTGGAACCAATAGAACTGACACAAAGAAACAGGAGGCCTTTGCTTGGTTTGAAAATTGTTCACTCATAGATACTAATTCATTGGGATGTGTTGTTGGAATAAGTCATGGACACTATTGTCTGAATACTCAGAATATATTCCCATGGTTTTTTCCTCCCCAAATTTGGAGAGGAGGTACCCACCTCTCCTCTCCATTCAAAGTATTCAAAAGAAACTTTACTCTGTGATCAACATCGAATAACCTGTTATTGAGGAGATGGATCCCTAGGAGAGGGTCTGTCTTGTGGAGAACTGTCCCTTCTCACTGACATGATTCATTTATATCTCAAGCCCAGCGGGAGAGGTGGCCTGTTCTCTTCCTGGGGGCATGACAAAGCAATAGTTTCTCCATTTTTACTGACAGGTATCTGAGACCAACCCAAAGAGGATTTGGTCCAAGGACACAGGTCCAAGGTACAGATGGAGTTTGGCTCCTGAGTGACATGTCTGAGCTTCCTCCTGATGGACATCAAGCAGCTTCTTCTCCAGCTACCAAATTCTGTACTTCCTGCCAGTCAACAAGGTACCTTTTCTTAACCTTTCAAACAATTTCCTGTTAAAGTTTTGCTTGCCCATAGTCACGTGCATTCTCATGATACAGCATCCTTTATGCAAGGGGCCAATTCTTGACTTCTAAGCTTCTAAAATCTATTAGGACATTCATGGCAGTAAGATTGCTATAAACATTTTAAATATATATATATATCAGCAAAAAAAATGGAGATAAGAGTTTTAGAGACCCAAAATAGTCCTTGATTTAAAATTTGGATTGATGTATGTGTTTTGAGAGAAATAATCCAACTTTATTCTTTGAATCTTGATTTTTGGGGGTTTTGCCCCTTGCTTGTGAATTCTATCATCTAGTAACATGTCTTTTCATCTTTGTTGTTTCTTTTTCTTTAATTTTTAGACAGGGTCACATGTAGTCTAGGCTAGCCTCATTCTCACTATGTAGCCAAGGATAAATTGAATTCCTGATCCTCCTGCCTCTGTCTCCTAAGTGTTGAGACTGCAGGAGTCCACCACCTTACTGAAAAAAAAAAATCCATTTTTCCAGTGAGATACTTTGCATTAGATATTTTGTCCCACATAATCTATAGGTCTAAAATAAAAATATAGTTTTGGGCCTGGAAGGGCTTGAGTTTGTATAAGTCGAAGACTCATAAGCAGAAAATTCTAATACAGCATGACGTGTGCCAGAGCAGCTGAGCTGGGAAGCACACTGTTGTAGAAAGAGGCACTGAACAATTCAAAGCCCGAGGAGAAGCTGAAGGCTCACAAGAGTCTTATCTCGAGGAGCTGATCAGACAATGAGCAGGATCTGAGCTATACATCTGGGCAGCCGTGGGAATCACAGTCAGCAGAAAGTGTATCCAGATCTATGCTCTCTCAGTACAACTGTTGGTGGGAGGTGCTTGCTCAGCCAGGGCCCGTTTCCTGCCAGCTTTGTCTCTGGCCAGATCTCATCAATAGCGTGTAAGCAAAAGTGGTATCTTTCACTTCTGGGTTGGGGCAGAGAACATCTAGTGAATTCTCTCTCTTCTTTCCCTCCTTTATTGGCTGACTGGGGAGAAATCCAAGCCTCTAAAGACAGACAATGTTACTGGTCAGAAGGAGCCTGGGTCCCTGAGAATCCAGGAGTGTGTCTGTGTGTGTATGTGGTGGTGGGACATCTGCCAGCCAGGAGCACCTGCATTGGGCTGCTATGAGGGAAAACTTAACTTCTGTTGTATAAATTGCTAATATCTTGGTGTTTCTGTGTTCACAATCACCAGTAATACCCTCATTAGGACAATGTCCCAGTGTAAAGGGACTTTGGAGATCTGATGCTTTTAGGAAGTCAGTAGTGGTGTAGAAAGAATATATGCGGTAGAGGAGAGGAGAAGGAGAGAGGGAGGGAAGGGGAGAGAGAGAAAGAGAGAGGAGATCAAAAGGCATCTCTGCTATTTCCGTTCAGTGGTAATGAGAACTAATGAAAGATTTTAGGTAAGATGGTAAAATAATTAGATTTTTGTATAAGAATTACCACTTGGGCAACAATGTGGAGAACTGATAGAAGGGTAAGAAAAAAGCAAACTGACAAATTTCTTTGATGAATTTTTAAAATCTCGCTTATGGTTCCTTCAGTTTAACCTGCTCTTTCATAATGAAAACACTGCCCGCAATCTTCAGGAACAAGAGAAGACACTTAAACATTATGGTTTAGACATAAAGAGTCTCCCTGAAGGTTCATATGTTGAAAGTTTGTCCTTAGCTGCTGGGTTCAATCATTGAGGCCACTGGGGGAATCCCAAAGACTATATATACCTTGTCCCAGCTCCTTCCTGTCTCTCTCTGTTTCTGTCATAAAGTAAGAGCTCTAGGCACTATGCCCCTACTTCCAGGATGTTCTTTATCACCTCAGGCCACAGGGATGGGACCAAGCAGCTGGACTGAAGTCTCGGAAACGGTGAGCCCAAATCAACCCTGCCTTTGCTATTGTTTTGGCTTTTTCAGCACAGCAATAAAGTCTCACCAGCTCACTGACCTTCATTGAATACACGATCTGCCACAGAACAGTGGGAACCTTCCAGGCATAGTACTGAACGCTTATGATAACCTAGAGAGGGGCAGAGGATACATCACCCACACCTGATGCTTTGTAGGTGTCTGCGGAAGAACAACACTCTGTCAACTCATCCCCTAAAAGTGAGCCAGCTGGAAACACAAAACAGAATCCGCAGAATTGCAGGGGTCTCAATGGAAGAACCTGAATTAATGTCATTTCAAACTCCCGGTAGGAAAGCTACTATGTTTTGGAAAATGCTCTCAATGAGGTAGCAAGAAATGAACAAAAAGTGTCTGCCCGTAGTCATTTCCCAAGTATAGAAAGCAAGTCCTTGCCACAACAGCAAACGCCTACTCATTGGTGTGGTTAAATTCACATATGGCCTCAAAAACTAAATGATCCTGGCTGGTCCTGCACCAGCTTGGGTCTCAGACTTCAAGAAGAAACACCCTGAAGTAAGTGGAGGCATTTGCAGCCAGAAATGAGCAGATGTATTAGCCGTGAAAATGCAGCTCTCCTGAGAGGAGGGCAGTTGGCCTGGACTTAGCATCTGGGCCCCAGCATCTATCACCACACTTATGCTGAGGCATCCTATACCCTGTGCACAGCCAATGTCTGAGCCCAGCAGGTTTGCAAAGGCAAGGAGCCAGGTACTCCTCTGAAGGATAGCCATAGATAGGTATAATCACTCCATAATTTTGACAGACCTTTCCTAGAGCTGCAGTGTAGGCTAAAGGTCCCCTGCACAAGCTCTTTTCTTTTCCTTTCTCCAAAAATGTTGGTTCAACATCAAAGACAGACATCTATCCTGGAGTCCTCATACCCCTCCCCGTTTTCTCTCAAAGACGCTTCTCATAGTGAATTATTTTCTAGAGCTAATCTCTTCCAGCACTTCCTTCTTGTAGGAGCCAACTTAACATATGAGCCAAAAGGTTCTGGCCCTAGTTTGCGCCAAACCCCAAGTGTTTGGAGAAATCAAATCTTGGCAGTTTCCAGAGGCACCAAGGCTAGCACACCCATGCTGCAGGAACAGCAGCTGGACAATCCTTGCTTGTCAGAGGCCAGGCGCTTCCATGCAGCCTCCCACAGTTTTTCACAGGTAAACTCAGTGCTCTGCGCATATGCTGACACAAAGATGGAGTGGTGAATGGACACACACGCTGCCCTGGCAAGATTGCACGGGAGTAGACGGGAGATCCAGGAGGGCTGCAAGAGGGAGACAAGTCTGAGTAGAAGGGGTTGTTTCCATATCCACACAAATGTACAGGAGAAAGGAAATGCCAGTCACTGGATCACCGATGAATAGAAGACTGGCCACCATAGCTGCAGAATGCAAAAGCACCACTTCCGTTGGAAAACAAGAAAATCAGACATTCAAAGAAGCTATCCGGACTCAGTAATGGACCACCTCCCAGAACACATGCTCACAGCCACAACCTAGATCTGCCCCAGCACTCGGAGCACTCTCTGAGACCCACTTCTTCGACAGGAGCTGGCATCCCCTTTTCAGGCAGTCTCTACTTAAGAAGCATTGGGGCTTCTTTAAGTCTGAATGTCTGAACACGCAGGGTAGGGAGAGGAACTCTGACCTCCTTCAGCTTCACACAATTCCCTTACAGAGCTCGATTCTCAGAGCACCCAGTACTCGAAAAAGGCACTTGCCCTCACCTTGGCAAACATATGCCCTGGTATACAGATCTCCCTCACCTGAGTACAGCTCACGTGGTGTGAGCCACACAGCATTAGGAGCCAGTCTTATGGGAGCCCACATTACTCAGTGTTGCTTTGCAGAATTCCAATACACAATGAGACCATTTAAGGCAGAGGCTCTGTGCTGTGATTCATCTCCTTTCCTCCAGAAAAGACAAATACTTTAGGCAGATTTGTAGTTGGATTTTTTTTCAGCGCATAAACCCCCTGGAAGTCAAGAAGAAGAGGATCTGCTATGTAGTCCACCAGTCCCAGGGATTTTAAAGTGTCACAGAGAATGAGCACCTCAACAAATGCTGTGATGTCCCTCTCCTTTAGGGCTTTCTATACAATTGTCATCTAGCAGATGTCTGGCAGGCAGCTATACCATATCAGAGCATGAAGGGAATGAGGTAGTGATGTGTGGTCACATGCACCTGTTATCCCAGCACTTGAGAGATGGAGGTAGGAAAATCAAGGCAAGACTAGGCTATATGAGAGTCTGTGTCAAACAAACAACCAGAGAGATGGAGATATAGATAGAGAGATGGATAGAAAGATGGAGGGTGGTGGAGGAGAGCAGAAAATGGAAAGAGCTTCAGGGATGCTCCCATCAAGGAGCATTCAAAAACATCAGCCTTTCCATCTGGAATCTCTCTTATTTCACTGTCCACTTTATTCTACTTGCATGCCATCTTACATGTAGGACATGTTCTGAGGCTTGCGTAAGCTAGAAAGAAAGAAATACAAAATGATTTTTATCCCCAAGAAAAATTAGAATATGCCAGCAGCCTACTGGCCTTTTCCTCCCGCACAATCCTGGTATGCTAATATCCTCTAAGAATAAGGTACTATAAGTGTCTCACTATAAACCTCATTCTACAGTCAAGTCCTCTGCATCCTGCTGACGACAGTTATTCAATATGGTACAGAAATGTTCCACTGACAGGGCTTTGCTTAGAGAAATATGGATGGGACCTTAATACTTTTACAAATCCTAAATGGCAGCAGATGGCAGAATGGTCTTCAACATACAGACATCTCCCAGTCTCTTTTGTGTTTATATGGTCACATGTCATGCCCCACAGCAGGGCAAAGCACAACTCCAGCTCCCCTGGGCCTCAGTTTTGAAGGAATGCTGCTGCCCTGGAGATGAAGGGCACAGGCAGCCCAGCTGTGGGTGTGAGTTCTGTGGACTACTGCACAGCAGTCGCTCAAGTGCTATATGGAGTTTACAAGATCTTGGAAGCCACGTGCATGGGTAGTGAGTACGTGAAGACTAATAC